CAACTTCTCCTTACATTTTAAAAAGTGGGTTTTACAGACAATTTATAAATACATAATCTTTAAATCAATTTTAAGAACAGGTTTTACCAAATAGTCGTAAACGTAATACATGCAGATATTATCATGAGTGTAAGTCATTTATGATGAGTGATAATAAGTCAAATTAGAGGTCATAGCCAGTCAGTATAAAGCAGGCCCTCCTTCTCAGTACTGGCAGTGGCAGATGGAGGATGAGTAAATCGTGTGGATTTCTGTGGAAAAATTTCTAAAACTCCCTGTCCCTTAAACCTTTTTCCTACTTTTTCTCTTCAATCCCAGACTGCATCGCTTTAATTTCACCTTTTCTCACCAGATTATAGCATAGAAGTCCATGCAGCCACAAGAAGATAGCATTTCAATGGAGTCTTTAGCAATAGAGAATTCCAATGAGAAATCTGATATCCAAGAGAATGAAAACGTGAGAAGACAGTCGAAAGTTTGTCTCACAGGCCGTTGGAGACCTTCGGAGGACGAAAAACTTGAACAGCTTGTTGCTCAATATGGCCCACAGAACTGGAATGCCATAGCTGAGAAGCTTGGAGGAAGAACGGGTAGTTTTGTTTATTTTTTCTATTATGTTCTTATATCGATCTTTAGGGTCTGATGCCTTTTTCCTGTGATTTGAAGGCAAGAGTTGTAGATTGAGATGGCACAACCAGTTGGACCCGATGATCAATAAAAGAGCTTTCAGTAAAGAAGAAGAGGAAAGGCTGTTGGCAGTCCATAGGGTTATTGGCAACAAATGGGCTCTGATTGCTAAGTATTTCCCTGGGAGAACTGACAATGCAATGAAAAATCACTGGCATGTTTTAATGGCTAGGAAACACAGAGTCAGAGAGCTATCAACATCCTACAGAAAAATATCAAACCGTTATACCAATTCCTTCCTTCCTTGTTCGGGACGTGTTTCCAATCCGACTCCACCAGATTCTTGTTGGGGTTAGTCTGTATACATAGCATACGATCTAAAACTACATACCGAGCAAGAAAATGCAGTAAATATCTATCTTTTTAATTTATTTTCAGGGAG